CAGACCCACATGCCTGCTGCCATGTAGTCTAGAGACACAAACTTGTGATCAAGGCATGGTGTACTGGGACTGAACTGAAGGGCTGAAAGTTCTCTTGGGGTCAAGTGATACCCCAAATGCAGTAATTGGACAGACATCTCACTCCCCCCCCCCCCAACTCCTCCTCTCACCTCCTAGAGCCAGGGCCCTTCAGGTCAGCCACCCACCCCTAGCCAGCCTGGGGCTGCTGCTGGTGGGGCCTCAACCATGCTGAACTCTGACCTGGGTCCTAAGCAGTTTGGACCCAAGTGGAGAGAAATTGAGAGGGAACTTGATGTACGCAGAGCTTTGGAAGTGCTGAGGAAGGCTGGGCACACGTTTGGCTCCATCCTTTCCACACAGCCTCCCATCTAGAGGTGCCTACAGCAATGGCTGGCCCATCTGCATCACCCTCTCCAGGAGCTTGGAGGCCCAGGTGCTTTTTCTCCAATGCAAGATGGGGAGTGGAGACCAGGGGTGTGCTGTCTTGGTCTGGGGCCCTTCACCCTCTTCCTTTCTTTGATTCTATCGCTGCTTCTCTTTCAGCCAACCCCTCCGCCAACTGGCTGCACGCTCGCTCTTCCCGGAAAAAGCGCTGTCCCTACACCAAATACCAGACGCTGGAGCTAGAGAAGGAGTTTCTGTTCAATATGTACCTCACCAGGGACCGTAGGCACGAAGTGGCCAGACTCCTCAATCTGAGTGAGAGACAAGTCAAAATCTGGTTTCAGAACCGGCGGATGAAAATGAAGAAAATGAATAAGGAGCAGGGTAAAGAGTAAAGAGTAAACATTACCCCTACTCCTCCCAGCTCTTCCCCATCTCACTCTTATTTATGTGACGACTGTAAAGCCAGCGCTGTCTGGAATGTGTTCAAGTGAATGGGGAAGGGAGTCTCTCTTCCAAGTCCTTTATCTGCACCTAGAGCCTCTCTTCTTTCCTTTGCCCTTACCTGTCTTTCTCTTCTCCCTGGGTGTCAGGAGAAAGTTTTGTTATTTAGAAGATAGAAGTAGATGGTTCCTAAGAAGGTGATGGGCCACAAGGAAAGAGACCATAGTCAAGCTCCTAGTATGCTCCGTAATTTTTCTGGGAAGTCCTAGCCTCTCACTTCCAGCTTACCTATTTCTTCTCTATGCCCATCCAAAAGTCACCCAGGGACACTCCAACTCCATACAGCCCAGCAGACACCCACACACATACAGCCTGGAGTCCACAGTGATAATGGGGTGAGCTCACAGCCACCATTCAGTCAAGTGAAGTGGCACTCCAGATGCAGACCATCGCACACCAAATTTGGCAGAACAGCCCTCAGACCATCAGGCAAGCCCGGGTTCTACCCCTGATGCAGATACACGCCGGGGAGGTGTCTAGAGGCAGACTCCTGAATGAAGGGTTGCAGCCCCAAGGTCGCAGCATTGCCATACTGTCCCCGTGGAGTTTCCAACTATTCCCAGGCCAAGGGCCACGGGGAAGATAGGGCGAACGTAGCCCCCAAGCTGGTGGTCTAGAAAGTACAAGAAAAGGCAGCACGTGGTTTTATGAAGGTATCTTAGGTGGAGCTACTCCCCACCTCCCACCAACATACACATTTTGTTGCAGGAAATGTTTAATTCTGCATGTTTCCCTCTCCTTCCAACAAAAGGAGGTCAAACTGTGGGTCGTAGAGCATTGACAATGTCTTTCTCCTGTTCATCTGTGCACCGCTTGACAGACTGTAGCTTCTCTTGCTCTCGACTGGCCCTGCATTCTTCCGCATCCTCCCTAGCTCCGAAATCTACTCTCTTCGGTGGAATCCACCTTGCACCCGCGAGTCAAGCCGTTCCTTCTAGAAAACCCCTCCACCCTCCATCCCCCTCTAGGTCAACCCCACTGTAGACAGGAAAGCCAGGTCAGGAGAGTCCGAATGAGAATTTATTGTGAATCAATTCCCAAGCTCCCTTCCAGGACTAGTGCTCTGGGACAGGGAGGAGCAATCAGCGCGCAAAGCCCTGCGCCTTCCTCCGCATCCCACCGGCTTCTCGACCCACGCGGAGGAATCCCAGGCTTGGCGGCTGCAGCCCCAGCGTCAAAGGCGACCGGGCCCAGCGCCAGGCTTTGCCTCCAGCTTCATGGGCCTGGATGCGGATCTGCGCGGCTGGTGCGTGCACGCGCTTCTGGGGAAGAGTCCCGCGTGCAAAGGAAAGAGACAAAATCGCACCTAAGCATCAGATGGAAGCTTACTCTCTGCTTCCCCTCCTCCCCCTGCTCCCCTTCCTCTCAGTCCCCTCCAATTCGTGGACTCTTGCTCCTGCTTCTCCTGATCCTACAAGGGGACATTCCAGTAGAAGTTTTTTGCTTTGTCGGTGGCTGTCGTGAAATTGTGCTTGTGTTTCGTGATTTCTTTGGGGGTGATTGTCTCGCCTGTTTTTCGTTGTCGATTATATGGGAAGGTATTGGGTGGGAGTGGGGAGGGTGAGGGGCCTAGAGCTCTAATTGTTTGTTTTGGAACAAAAAAAGAAAAGGAACAAAAAATATATATCACTCTAGAAAATAAATCTCTCCTTGTCTTATTCTGTGTTGGTTCTCTGGGCCCCGACCATAGGTAGAGATCCCAGTTGTCAGGAAAAAGACTTGGGGAAAAAGATGGCTGAGCCCAGGAGGTGTCTCCTTAGACCCTGCAGAGCAAGGTTCCCTGCAGAGCTCTCTAAAGGTGGGGCTGAAAGCCAATCTCAGACCCTAGGTCCCAAGACTGCTAGTTAAACTGATCAAGAGCCTTCCAACAGGAGAACTGGAAGACTGGAGGAGGGAGGGAAGGAAATATGGGTTGTTTGGAGAGGGGACAGGTCTGGGGAGCAATGCGGTCCTGAGTCCTCCTCACTGCCTTGAGAATAGCTGGGAAAGCAAGTCTTCTTGCATCTCCTGGGGATAGTTCACCTCCCTTAGCCACTGATAATGTCACCTTTCTTTCGCCACTTTAAAATATGATGCAAGGGAGAAACACAGTAATTTCTCTCTGTTCTTCCTGCAGCAGGGTGCCTAGGTATAGACCGAGGCCTCCAGAGCGCTGGAATCTCCTTCCTTCCATTCAAAGGAAGGGTTAGAGTTCTCGGCCCCCAGTTGGGGTTGGGGGCTCCAGTTTGAGCCACAGGGCAGCAGCCTTGGTCTGAGATGGCCTGGGTTTGGTAGAGGTTGAGCCCTGTGTAAGCACCTCTGCAAAGGCTGGAGAGGGCATTGAGTGGGAAGCAGAACTGTCTCCGTAGAAAATTTCCCTTCCCAAAAGGACCCCAGAATTAAACTCAGTTTCAAGAAGCACCTTTGTGTCCCTCTCGGACTGAGGGGTTTCACCAGAGCCTCTTGTGAAGACCGCAGTTCTTGGGAACCTGCGCTTCTCACCCAGGCCTTGGGATTCCTTCGGCTGGGACGGCGCTCCAGAGCTGGCCTCCCGCAGGAGCCTCTCCCCAACCCAAGTCGGCAACACCACGGCCGGCTGAGACCTTGCAGGTTGGGGTAGAATTGGAAACAAAGCGTGGCCTCAGTGAAGGGAGCCTGCAAGTGAAAAGGCCAGGCCTACCCCCCTCCAGCGAAAGAACGAACTGATCCGAGAGACGGTGGGAGGCAGGAGGAAAGCGCAGCTCCGCGTCAAGTGGGCCGGGACAGGCCCAAGGAGGGTTTCATTAGGGATACAAAATGAATCTGGCTTTACAGCTGGTGTAGACCAGGCTCCCGCCCCATCCTGGGCTTCCCAGGCCCAGCCAGTGCTGAGAGCAAACAGAGAAGGTCGGTTTCCGCCTAAAGAAAAGCAGAGTGAGGCTCGAACAGAGGGGAGTGCTGCGTGGTAGGGGCGAGGGCGCTCCGAGGGGCCTCCGCCGGCGGCGTCTGGTCCCCAGCCCGGGGTTGCCTCTTTAAAGACAAACAAAGACGAAGATGCGGAGGCTCGGAAGCCGGAGATGGGGAAATCGGTTGTCATAAAAGAGAGAGGGATTCAGAGAGGGGGACCGCCAGAGTGCGAGGCAGAGAGAAGCCGGGAAAGGAATTCAATGCCGTGTGCGCAGCAATAAAAGAATATGACCGCTATAAAAGTTTATAGCGTATAAATTTCTGAAGGTTAAGAAACTAAACAGCAGCAAAGCAAACAGCGAGGGGAAACTTTCCGGAGCTGAGAGAGCGGCAGCTGGGCAGAGACTCCCGGCCTGGCGGGGGTAGTGGGTGGGCCCCGCTCCGGCAGCCCCCACCCTCACCCGCCCAGAACGCGGGGCTCGGGGCTTGGCGGGGGGGTGGGGGGGACTCAGAGGGCAGAGAAGGGAGCAGCGGCGGGGTGGGTGGGGGGAGAACACTTTGTTGTGGCAAATGCTTCAGAGATTGCAACTGGGGCTCTTTGTTCTTCACACCCCCTTTAGAATCGGGCGTTGGAAACGAGGTTCCTCCTGGACACACACACACACACACACACGCGCGCGCGCGCGCGCACACACACACACGCAGGTTCGGCGGGGCCAGACGTCTGGTCGCGGGCAGCCTCTTAATTCTTTTACAGTGTCATCCCATCCTCTCAAGCCTCCTCTCCCCCAACAGAAAGCCCAATTGTTTCTCCTCAGAATTTGAAACAGTCTTGTGGAGTTTGAAAAGTGCTCGGTCCCCCTTTTTACGGGCCATAAACTGCGCGCTGCTTGGCGGTCTCCGCTAGAAATTAGGGTCAGGGTGGGAGGTGTATGCAGAAAGAAAAAAGCTTAGGATTTCTTTTTTTTTTTCTCTCCCCTCCTGTGTTTTATCTTTTTCTTTTAGCTTATCTACACAATTTCATGAGCCGTTTCCTGATTCTGATGCCCTTTTTCATGCCCGCTTCCCTTTCTCTCCCCTTTCCCTGCTAGTTAGGAAAGTTTCTCTTGCCGAGGCTGCTTTCCTGAAAACTGGTGGAGCCGGTGGCGGCGGCGCCTTTTCGCAGAGTAACCGCTAGATGGCACCCTTGCTCCATGTGGAAATCCAGGGAGCGGCGGCTGCGGAGGTCTGCGCCCCGCACCGCGCCTAGGTCGGCCCTGAATCTAGAAACTGAGCGCTACCAAAAGTCATGAATAATTTGCACCTAATAAAAAAAATAGGGTTCGTATGGCCTTACCCCCATTTTATAGATTTCAGTTATAGTAGTGTTCCCCCACTGCTCAAATGGTCAATTTTCTGAATTTTCCCCACGAGGAGGGCTCAGTGCTTCTCACCCAGTTGCCGTATTCCGTGGGGCAACAAATGCGTGAAAACGAAGAATAATAGTAACAACAGGAATAGTTAGTCCAAATCCAAAAGGAGAATTGATTCGAAAAAACCGAGATTTTCCGTGAAGGGAGGCGAAAGGAAAGTCCTCGGATTCGGGTAAGCAGGTCAGGTGAGAGGCGAGCCGGCAAAAGAAGGTGGGATGGAGAGGAAGCTGCCCCGAGGCGGGCTGCCCACCGGATGGAGAGGAAATCGCGTAAGCCAGCCCGGGACCACCCAATCTGGGAGGAAATGAAGCCGTAGCTTTTGTGGGGTTCGGAGATACCCAAAGCCGGCGGGGCGGCTTCGCGCCGGCGCAGGCTCTGGAGCCTTTGTATGAGTGCGGCGCGGGGCTGGGCGCAGGCAGGGCGACCTAGGCGCGGGGAAGGGGCTCCCCAGGGCAGCGGAGCGCGGAAGGCTCGGGTGTCGCCTGTGGACGCTTTGCGCAACCCCAAATAATGCGGGGTTTCCCATGGGCGCGAGGGCGGGCGCGGCGTCAGGACACAGGAGTTCTGTTTTCCCTGGGTTTCTCGGTTTCCAGGTGAGAGCTGCGGCTCCCCGCGCCACGGCCCTGGCGCAGGCAAACCTGGGAGTGCGGATCCTTTCCTCATTGAGTAGCTGGAGGTCTGGCCTCTGAGCACTTTCGTTCTGAGACTCGCACCCTGGCTGTCCACAGGCCCTTGCATTCCAAATCTTTGTCCTCCCTGCCCCGCCAGATTCCTGCCTCCTGTGCGACAAACCTGCGCCCGTAATAGATATTCCCACCCCCTCAAAATCACCCCAGCTGCAGCCTCTCCTCTCCCCCACCAGTACCTGGTGCAAGGAGGCAAGCAGAGTTTCTCCTTAACTTGAGTTTCTCTAATAAATCTGCGCTCCGCTGGGTGTTTATAAATTGTCTCTTCGCTCTTTTTTTTTCTTCTTATAATAGAAACATTTTCCTTCCATCAGGAATTTCTGGCACAATGTAGAGATGATTTAGAACAAGCCATTGAATTTGTACCTCACCGGTGAGTTCTCAAATCATGACCATAAAATCCTCTGCACTTGATAAAAATGTTTGCTTCGGCAACAACCTAACTCTGCCCTCCATTGCCTCACGGTCCCCTCAGCCACGCGCTGAAAATTCAAAGCCCTAGTGGTCTCCCCGCTCTTTTCATTTCTCTCTCTTCCCCTTGTAGCCTTTCTCTCATTCTCTGGCTTCACTTTTGAAGAACGAAGTGACCCCACTAGTAAGGTTCCCTGTGGAAAAGTGATAGTTTCATTTTTACAAATGTTGGAGTGTACGGGGTCCTCGAAAGGTGCCCGTCTAGAAACAAACCACTGTCTCCTGAATGAACAATGGATTAAATGTATTTGTAAAGCCTCCACTTTTGTTGTTCAAAATTTTCTTTCTCTCCTTCCTGTCCCTTAACAATCTACTGCTACAGGAGGCCATTGGTTCTGACCCTAAGACCGGCCTTCTAAAGCCTGGCCACCACCATCGTGAGGCCGGGTAGGCAGGGAAGGCAGTGGCCACAGAGTGTGGCACCAGTCAGCTTGTTCCAGCATTCTGAGTGCAGGCGTCTGGTCCCCAGGTCTGCAGGGAGAACCAAGCCAGGTTTAACTAGAGGCTCCGCAAGGGTAAAGGGGAGAAAATGGGGGACTCAGCAACCTTGCTTTAACTGAATCCCACACCCTGGTCAGTTTAGGTACTGACAGTGGCTCAAAAGGTCTTGGGGACACTGAGGACTAATAGATGCCCCCCAAACACATACTTTGCAGCCACTGCCTAGAGCGGTTGAGAGCATAAGACAGTGGGCACCAAGGCCAGGTGCCAGGGCCTGATACCCTGCCACAGCCTCCATCACCCTTCTTTCCTCTTGATGTGTTGATGGGCTTAGTGGTGCCCTCCCACCCTAGGGCACTGCAGAAGGTATGGAGGTCGGCCTGGGAAGTTTGGGAGCTATTGATAACTGGGCTTAGCTACTTGGTCCTAAGGCCTGGGTGCAGGTGCACAGCACCCCATTAGGGTTTCACCCCTCTGATGGCATCAGGCCCTCTCTTCTCATGCAAAGTCTGCCTTGAAAAGTGCTGACTGGACTGAAGGAACTTCAGGAGACCCCCTTTTCAGCAAGCAGAAATTGCAGTGAACCTGCAGAATGGGCAGTGGAAGGTCAAACTTTGCTCTGTGCTTCAACCACTGCTCATTAACCAGAAAGTTTCTTCTTCCCTCCCTGTCCCTCCTCAAGATCTCCCAGACTCCTGCTCCACAGAAAATCTTTGCTTATTTTTTAACGAGAGGAAGTTGTGTGACTGACCAGGGCAGGGCAAAAAGGGGACCGTTTGGGGGCTCCAGAGAAGGGGTGAAGACAGGTGCTTGCCAGGATGGAAGGAGGTGAAAATCTCAGAAAAGTCACCGTTTGTGCCGAAAAAAATCCCTATAATCATTCTCATTTCGGCTCGTCACCCCCACCGTGCTGCAGTCGGGTGGCGGGGGCGATCGAAGCTGCAGTTTTATAGCTGTAGAGGAAAGAACTCGTAAAATGCTAACAGCTTTTATGCGCTGCGGCATAAACAACAACAGACTCCGGCTTTATTGCGTTTTATAGTTTGTTAAAGAGTTTACAGCCGTTTTTTGGGGGGCCGGTTACCCAGCCAATTCCCTCCACACGATAGTTAAACCTTTATCAATAATAAGGAAATTGATCATTAAAGCTTTAAATATGACTACCTCGTTTGTTTGAAAATATGTTTAGGAGAGGAAGCTGTATGATTTGATAACTTGTATTAAAATACCAATTACATTTATAGGACCTTTTAAAACTCGGCGCAATTAAACCGTGTTCTTTTACATTTTTCCGAAGCGACCCTGACATTTAGAAAGACTCCAATTGCCTCGTTAAAATCGCGAAATTAACAGCGTGCCTACGCCTGGCGTGTTGTATATGTGTGTGTGCGTGTTTTTTTCCGTGACTCCCCCACATCAGTCTTTGGGGGTGGTCTGCGAAGGTATTTGATTTGTTGGGAGGCGAGAGATATCTCATTAATGTAGGTAGTTAAACAGATTTAATCCGTATTCATTCTCTCTCACCCCCTCTCCCTCTCCCCCTCTCTCTCCCCCTCTCCCCCTCTCTCCCTGGGTGTTTTTTTCTTCCCCTCCTTTTTTTTTTTTCGATCTTTCCTCACTCCCTGGCGTTCTCTCGCTCTAGCTCTCTCTCTCGCTCGCTCTCTCTCGCTTTCACCCTCGCTCTGCGTTCTGTCCGGGAGGAGTACGAAGAAGCCAATAGGATGCGGGGTCTCTAATGGATGCAAATGATCATGAAAAGACAGTGCAAAATATGAAACAACTCATTTGCAGGGAAGTAAATCACCGAAAACTGTTTATGAACTGGCATCCCTTCTTCGAAATGTAAAGCGAGGACCTCTTTAAGTGGCGGTATATTTTTGTTTGGGGGGTGGGGGGTGGGGGGAGGGCGAGCGAGACGCGGCTGCCATGCGAGCTTAGACTTTTGGAGGCTTCTCTGTTCTTTTCTATTCCTGGAAATCACAAAAAGTGTGTAGGCTTCGAGATCTTCTTCGCCTTTTCTTTCTTTTCTTTTTTTTTCCTCCTCCCTTTCCCTCTCCTTTCCTGGCGAGGGTGACTAGGAGCCGGCGAATCCGCGTTTTTTTCTCTCTCCCTCCCTTTCCCCCTCCCCGCCCCCTCCCCAACAGCCCCCAACTACAGCCTCCGCCGCCGCCGCCGCCGCCTCAAAATTCAATAAAATGAGCTCTTATTTCGTCAACTCACTGTTCTCCAAATACAAAACCGGGGAGTCCCTGCGCCCCAATTATTATGACTGCGGCTTCGCCCAGGACCTGGGCGGCCGACCCACCGTGGTGTACGGTCCTAGCAGCGGCGGCAGCTTCCAGCACCCGTCGCAAATCCAGGAGTTCTACCACGGGCCGTCGTCGCTGTCCACGGCTCCCTACCAGCAGAACCCGTGCGCCGTGGCGTGCCACGGGGACCCCGGCAATTTCTACGGCTACGACCCGCTGCAACGCCAGAGCCTATTCGGTGCGCAGGATCCAGACCTGGTGCAGTACGCAGACTGCAAGCTTGCCGCCGCTAGCGGCCTGGGCGAGGAGGCCGAGGGCTCCGAGCAGAGCCCGTCGCCCACACAGCTCTTCCCCTGGATGCGCCCGCAAGGTGAGCTCGCCACGGGGCCGGCGAGGCAGGATGGGGCCGGGAGGGCCCAAGGCCGGGCAGGGGGCCGGGCAGGCTGGGGCGCATTTCCTCCAGCTTCTGGAAGACTTGCCGGCTCCGTTCCCATCGCCTGCCGCTTTTTCCCTTTCTTTTTTCTTCCTTTCTTTCTCTTTCTTTCTTCTTTCTGTCTTTTTTGTTCCCCTTGAAGGGGGTCGGTTAGAAACATTTCCTGAATCTATAAACCCCTCACCCTGCCTTACTTTTCTTTTTCTTCCCCTCCTTTTTTCCCTTTTACTGTTTTATGGGGGGTAGTGAAGAGAGGGTGGTGGGAGTGGGGCGCTCAACTTTTGCACTTCTCAATTGCTTTATAGTTTAATTACCCTGAAGAAACTTTTCTTCTGGGGCAGAGGCTCTGGGGGCTTTTCAAGGTGGGTCCATTCGTCCCCACCCGGCTTTTTTATTCTTATTACCCCCCCTTCACATCCTTCCTCCCAAAGTTTATGGCACTTCTAATAGATCTGAACCACCTCCTACCCGACTCTGGTCTGGGTAACCAGGGGAAGGGGCTCCCCTTTCTGGCTCCCTTAGATTCAGTAGTGTCTGATCCCCCTCGCCCCCCTTCTCCGCTGACCGCGGCCTTCTCGCGCCCCCCACCCCCGTACGGGGTAGAAGGTCTCCTGCCCTTATTATACTGGTCTCCTAGGCTCGTTCACGAATCTTCCAACCTTCTCCGTCTCTGCCCCCTCCCCCACCCTCCCCTCCCCTCTGTCTCGCCCTTTCCCCCATTCCCAGCAGCCGCCGGACGCAGGCGAGGCCGACAGACCTACAGCCGCTACCAGACCCTGGAGCTGGAGAAGGAGTTCCTATTTAATCCCTATCTGACTCGCAAGCGACGAATCGAGGTATCGCACGCGCTGGGACTGACAGAGAGACAGGTCAAAATCTGGTTCCAGAACCGGAGGATGAAGTGGAAAAAAGAGAACAACAAAGACAAGTTCCCCAGCAGCAAATGCGAGCAGGAGGAGCTGGAGAAACAGAAGCTGGAGAGGGCCCCGGAGGCGGCGGACGAGGGCGACGCACAGAAGGGCGACAAGAAGTAGGCTCCAGCTAGGACTGCCAGGGCCGCGGCCGCCCGCACGTCCGCGGGTCCCGGCCGCGCCGCCGCCGCCTGCCCCCTGCCCGAGAGAGCTCTGGCCCCGCTAGCCGGGCCAGGAGCCGGGCCTCCCACCGCAGCGTCCCCCGCCGCGCCAGTCCCCGCTAGTGGTAGTATCTCGTAATAGCTTCTGTGTGTGAGCTACCGTGGATCTCCTTCCCTTCTCTTGGGGGCGGGGGGGGGGGAAGAAAAGGATTTAAGCAAGGACTCCCTCGCCCTGTGAGGATGAGCGGCCAAGGCCCGGCTGAGCCCCCCACGCCCCTTCCCACCCCTTGTAAAAAGCCTTCTTGTGCAATGGTCTTTTTCCTTTGAACGTGCTTCTTTGTAATGACCGAGGTACCGATTTCTGCTAAGTTCTCCCAACAACATGAAACTGCCTATTCACGCCGTAATTCTGTCTCCCTCTCCTCCCTCTCTCTCTCCTCTCCTCTCTCTCTCTCCTCTCTCTCTCTCTCTCTCTCTCTCTCTCTCTCTCTCTCGCTGCGTTCTCATTCCTCCTCCCATTCCTCTCTCCCCTCTGCACCCCCCAGCTCGCTGGCTTTCTCTCTGGCTTCTCTCTTTTCCTCCTCCACCCACCCCCTTTGGTTTGACAATTTTGTCTTAAGTGTTTCTCAAAAGAGATTACTTTAGTTAGCATGCGCGCTGTGGGCAATTGTTAAAAGTGTTCTTAGGTTTACTGTGAAGAGAATGTATCCTGTATCCGTGAATTGCTTTATGGGGGGGGAGGGAGGGCTAATTATATATTTTGTTGTTCCTCTATACTTTGTTCTGTTGTCTGCGCCTCAAAAGGGCGGAAGAGTTACAATAAAGTTTACAAGCAAGAACCCGAGTCTGGCCTGGCCAGCGCTCCTCATTTGCTCCCGGGTGCCTTGGAGAGCCGGTGGGGAGCCTGTCACCAGGCTCCTGCGCCTGCTGAGGCTAGGCCGCGGAGAGGAGGGGGCGGGGGCTGGAGGCAGGTGGTGCGAGTCCCTCGGCCCAGGGGCGCAGGGGGTGAGGGAGGCGGCTGCGCCTGATTGGAGGAGAGAAAAACGAGGGAGGGGAGCCAAGAGAAACCCCCTCCTCTTGCGTTCCGAGGCTGCCCAGCCTGGGAGACCAGGGCGCCCAGGCCACGCTGGAGACAAGCGCCTGAGCTGGTGGCTGTGTCCCCCGCCACCTCCCTCTTTGTTTTGCTGTGAGTCCTATGAAGAGTGTGTGTGTGTGTGTGTGTGTGTGTGTGCGCGCGCGCATAAAGGTGGAGTGCAGGCCTGCTGAGCATAATTTTTTTTTTTTTCCCTCGGACTCTTGTTGGGGGAGCAGGAGAAGGGAGACCGCTCTTCCCTGCCTCTCCCTCTCTGGGACTTGGCCACCTTCGCTCTGTTCTGAGGCCATGGCTCACCACCTTCCTTCTTTCGCTGCCTCTGCTTCTGTGGTAGTCACGCTCCACTGAGGCATACGCCTCCGGAACCGGGAAAGCAGCGCGCCATGGCCACCCTCCACCCTTCCTTTCTCTCCCCAACCACCCAACCCCCTTCTTTCTTTTACTTTGAAACCTTTTTTTTTTTCTTTTAGCCACCAGAAACTGCAGCGTCCAAGGCCCATTGGCTGAATCCTGTGCCCTAGGAGTATCTAGGAAGCCTCGCTTCATCTCCGCCAGCAAATCTGGGGCACCGAGAGAGAGACAGAGCCGTGAGCCAGGCTCACCTTATTCCTCGTCTTGGGAGAACCGGACAACTTCCCCAAAAGGCCTTGCAATGCAGAATTGGCGTGGATTAATAAAGACCAGACCTGCCCCACGCACCCACCTTCCCAGTTGCATGCATTCAATCCCTGCGTTTGTCTCTAGCTCGGTAACGGGCTGGAGAGGATGGGTAGGGGGGTGACAACACGGATCGCCCTGAGGTTATTTATTTTCTCTTCCTCTCAATCTCTTCCTTCCCAAACCTCGCCTGCAAGCTGCCTCCAGCCCGCGGGAGTCGGCAGCGGCCCTTGAGCCCCCAGCCCCAATCCACAGGGCTCGGCTTTCCCATTCATTATTGATCATATTTTATAAATCCAACGCCACACAATTTTTTCCACATTACCGGGAGCCGTGGGGAGGCAGCCCACCCATTGGCAGAGGGGAAGTCACGTGGGCGTGGTCACGTGGTCCGGAGAGGAAAAAGGGGGTCCTTTTTGGTGTAAATCTGGACTCTAATTCTGTAATATATCAAGGAATCTCGTAAAACCGACACTAAAACGTCCCTGCCTACAAATCATCCGGCCAAATTATGAGTTCATTGTATTATGCGAATGCTTTATTTTCTAAATATCCAGCCTCAAGTTCGGTTTTCGCTACCGGAGCCTTCCCCGAACAAACTTCTTGTGCATTTGCTTCCAATCCCCAGCGCCCGGGCTATGGAGCGGGTTCGGGCGCTTCCTTCGCCGCCTCGATGCAGGGCTTGTACCCCGGCGGGGGGGGCATGGCGGGCCAGAGTGCCGCCGGCGTCTACGCGGCCGGCTACGGGCTTGAGCCGAGTTCCTTCAACATGCACTGCGCGCCCTTTGAGCAGAACCTCTCCGGGGTGTGTCCCGGCGACTCCGCCAAGGCGGCGGGCGCCAAGGAGCAGAGGGACTCGGACTTGGCGGCCGAGGGTAACTTCCGGATCTACCCCTGGATGCGAAGCTCAGGTAACGCCGCGCACCGAGCTGTCCCGAGCCCCAGGGGCCCGAGCACATTACTCGGAAGGCGCCCCCTTCCCGGCCGGGCGCCCCTTTCCGCGTCCAGAGTGCTCCCGGCCGGAGGCCGGCCCCGCCCCCGCCCCCATATTTGCTCGGTGCTCTCAGGTTCCCTCTGCTTCCCGGCGGGTCTCTCTTCGCCGACGCCACGGCGCTCCGAGCACCCAGCCCGCCCCCACCCTTCCTCTCGGCCTTTTAGCTTTAAATATTTATTAGCAGCGCCGGCACGGGGTGGAGACGAGGCCGTTTGCTTGCGGAGGAAGGCTGGGGTTTACAGAGAATAGCCATTAAGGTCTCCCCCCCTCCCCCTTCTTAGCTAAGGATCTCAGCCCTGGGTGTATCCCCCTACCCCAGCTCGAATAAGGTATGGGGGAGGGGGCCATAGCGCTAAGCAATTCTCCCCTCCCCCTTCCTTTCCAGCGAACCCCACTCCCCCATTATTCTCATCAGCTCAATTAGTGGTGGGCTCTAGAGGCCTGACGGGAGGAGAAAAGGACCCAGCCAGGGACACAGAGCCAGAGAGGCAGGTGGAGGGAGGGGGTTGAGACCAAGAGAGATGAGCCTCCTGACCCCAATGAACTTGGGTAGGGGAGCGGAACAGGAAAACTAGAAAGGGGCAGAAGCCTCATGGGACTGCAGCTTCCTCAGGTGCTCTTCCTAGGGTTCCTAGGCACCCCTAAAAAACTGGCCAGGTTTGGAGATATCACTCCAGATAAGAGACTCACCTCTTCGGGAAGGGGCTAGGACTCTCTGGAGCCAAATCAAAACTTAGAGAGTGTAGTTCACCCAGCGAGCTGCTGCAGGAACCCCAAGGGTCTGAGGTTCCATAAGGTCTCTGCCAATGCTGGCCCAGACATTCTTTTCTGTGCTGTTCCACAGCAGATGAACTTGGGGGCTAGCCCCAAAGTACAGAAGACCCAAGACTCATTGTCAGAGGCACCCAGCTCAGTGATGGTCAGGGGCCAGAAGAAGCCCAGCTCTCACACCATCAGTATTCGTGGTTATAGACCCCATTACCTGCTCCATAGTTTAACTGCCTTTCCAGATGATTTATCAAAGCCCCCATTTTTCTGCTTATAGGCATTTCAGCTTGACTTTTATGTGACTCCAAACTAGGGCCCCTAACCCCCCTCCCCTGTTTCCTTCCCAGGAGCACCTCTTTCAAGTCTCCTCAGGGTTCTGGGCCTAATGCGGAAGTTCCCCTCTGCCCTTCAGCCCTCACCACCCAGATATTCCATGTTCCATCCTATCCCAGACTGTTGTCTCTCCTCTCCCCCGTGCCTTCCTAGAGGTCCAAAGATTGCTTTAGGTAGCTGGACTATATAGGCAAGCAGGCAGGCAGGACACCCTGGCCCTGTCTGAAGCTTAGCCACTCACTGGAAAAGAATCATCAGAGGGTCAACTGCTGTCAGACCAGCTCTTTGCTCAAGGAAATCTGCAAATTCTTACTTTCTCATTCCATAACATTCTGGGGGAGACTTGGAGGGACTGGGCCTTTGAGGCCCCTTTGTCTCCTTTTCTTCTTGGAAAACATTCTCAAGCCAGGCCTGGCACCCCACTCCAGGGTCACTTGCATGGTTTCTGCATCAGATCAGGATTCAAAAGAGGAGGTTTAGGGTCCTTGATCCTAGAGAGTGAAAGGAGGATTAATCTCCCCTCATCCCACTTGCACCCCTTAGGAGCAGAGCCTTCAATAGCCAGCAGGTTACTTTCCTGGGTTCAGAAGCTCCAGGCTGAAAAAGACTTCTTGGATAGAAAATGGGAATGTTTGCCTTGAGAAGCCCGTAGAAAATTCTGCAATTGAAAGGATACTGCAGCTGGAATAAGGGCTGGGGTATGGAAAGCCAGAATTTCGTTTATTGGGAAAATGGGCTTCTTCACCCATCAACTTCAAATCACAGAGGGCCTAAGAGGGAGGTGAGCACTCTTTTGGAGTTTTCTACACTCACTGATTTTCCTCTAAATACTGTGCGCAGGAACCGACCGCAAACGAGGCCGCCAGACCTACACCCGCTACCAGACCCTGGAGCTGGAGAAAGAATTTCACTACAATCGCTACCTGACGCGGCGGCGGCGCATCGAGATCGCGCACGCGCTCTGCCTCACAGAAAGACAGATCAAGATTTGGTTTCAGAACAGGCGCATGAAGTGGAAAAAGGAGAACAAGGCCGCGGGCCCCGGGACTACCGGCCAGGACAAGGCTGAAGCGGAGGAGGAAGAGGAAGAGTGAGGGATGGAGAAAGGGCAGAGGAAGAGAGATGAGAAAGGGAGAGGAGGAGAAGCCTGGCTATAGGAACTGAATCAGGAAACTCAAATCAAATAGGGAAGTAAAAACAAACAAAAACTATTTAAATGAAAGAGGTTTTAAAATTTTTTTTTGAGGAGAAAAAAAGGTGAAATATTGGTTTTTCAGCACTGAAAAAAATACTACCTATAGGAAAGTCTGTCAGGTTTTTGTTTTTTGTTTTTGTTTTTGTTTTTTTGTACAGGATCAGAAGGACATTATCTACCTGTTCTGTAGCTTTCTGGAATTTACCTACCCTTTTCTATGTTGCTGTTGTAAGGTCTTTGTAAAATCTTGCTGTTTTGTAAGCCCTCTTCGATGCTGTCTTTGTGGACTGTGGGTCTGGACTAGCCCTGTGGTTGCCTGCCCTCCTAAGCCTCTGCCTTCCCAGTAGCAGCACCGAGGGGCCTTAGGAAGCCCCAAAACCTACAACTCCCGTGCTCTCCAAGCACCTGGCCGCTGCTTCTTGCTCCCCCGTCCCTTGGCCCCATGCTCCCTTTTACATTCTATGTGTATCTAAAAGATGGAAAAATAAAACACAATTCAAAATAAACAAATGCCATATATTCTGTGTAAGGCTGGGAAGGGGTCGGGTTAGCAATCACCCCTTGGCTCTGACTTCTGATGCAGGTTCATTTCTGTGCTGGGTTTGTTCTTTTTCTTGGTGCCTCCTGCTCTGGGTGGGGACTGCCAACTAGTGAACCCCGATATTTCACTCATGCATTCCCTTTACACTCTTTTACACACATTGAGGTACATGATGCACACGATCACGTGTTTACAGGTTGACATCACACATGTCCACACTGTCACGGACACAGACATTCGTATCCATATGTTAACAAATAAACATACAGGCATTCATATAATCCCAGCTGCACGTCAGAACACACCCATTCATGTTCACACACACAAGTGAACACATTCACACTCACAGATACATTGCTACCAGCGTACATTCACACATTGTCTTAGAAACACAGATTCACATTTGCCCCCAAGTAAACGCATTCAGGAGCCCACATGCTTAGTCACACAGGCCCACAAAACAACAAAAACCTCACAGTTCCACAAACCCGATTCCTCATTCAGGTCTGGAAACCGAGCTGCGGGATCTGGATGTGGGCCGCAACTCAGGCACAGAGACAGAGCTGAAATCCAAGCTGCTAGGCCCCATACGAAGGAAGAGCCGAAGGAAAGGGAAATGAACACCGAAATCCACTCTGGCTTCTTGGGTGGCGTTGGTTAGAGGCCAGGCCAGGGAGTAGAGGCTCTCAGTCGGCGCACAGCAGCCTCCAGCTAGGGCACTCACGGCTTCCTGCTCGCTCGACAAACATTTTCGGCAAGAGCTAGTCCTTTATTTTATTTCGATTTATTTTACTTTCCTTTGTCTTAATTTATCTCGTTCTAAACTGACACAAGCGACCCAAATAAAACTTTAAAATCGGGGGTGGAGAAGGGAATGAGTCCGGCAGCAAGAGCATGAGCGGTGTGGCGGCATCCTGGCCGCTCTCGGAGTCTGGCTGCGCCACGCCCGGGGCTTCCTCCGCGCCTCTCCGCCCGCTCTCCGCGCCGCCGACAGCAGCCTGGAACCTTCTCCGCAGCACACACACAGAGAGAGAGAAAGAGAGAGAGAGAGAGGAGAGAGAGAGAGAGAGAGAGAGAGAGAGAGAGAGAGAGAGAGAGAGAGAGAGAGAGAGGGAGAGGGAGAGAAAGAAAGAGAAAATTGGGGCAGGGGAGGTTATTTCGTTTCCTGAATTTGGTCATTGGTAGCTCAAGTTGAAATACGGGGATATTTCAGGGGACCTGGGAAACCTGGGCTGAATTTTTGTTTCATTTTTTGCTTTCAAATACCCGCTGATTGCAGGATCAAGACCTGGAGGGTGGTGTCTATGCAGCTAGAATCGCCGAACTGATTTTTATTCGATTATAAACCCTGAATTATTTAAATTATAAAACAGACTTTGGAAAGAAAGAGGAAAGAGGGTTGGTTTTAGGATGATCTGTTGAATTTGAATTTGTCTGTGAAAGGCTTCTAAACCTGCAATTTCCCCCATTATTGACCACGTAGCCCCCTGGAGAGCGCGGGGAGCTGTCAATAGGGAACCTGGACTTGCCTGCATTTGGGCGGGAGAGGCCAGGATCCGGCTTGACCCTCCCCCAGTTTCTGGGTTTGCGGAGGCGAGAATCTGGTTGTCTGACTGTCAGCCTTTCCTCTTGGGACAAAAACAAAGCCCTAGGGGATCCAAGGCCCCCACGCCCGCAATGCTGCAAGCCTCACAGGTAGGGGTTCTGCCCTCTACAGGGCTAGGAATGAGGGTGCCAGTTCAGCTGGGGAGAGGGAACACCGAAGCTTTCATTTTGCCCACGTGCGGACGGCAATTCTAGACACTAGACACCGGCCTCTGCTCCCGTCTCACCCCAAAATTGCCTCAGAACTGTCCCTCTGCAGAGAATTTGGGGTAGACTTTTATTAGAAGAGGGAGCAGACCTCCTGTGGAAAATAGGGAGGTTCGGAAAAGAACCCTTCCTAGCTGCACCTTTATAGCTTCTCCACTCTGATTCTCTGCCCCCCCAAATCTCACCCCTTCTCAGATTGGGGTTTCCCCAAAAGGAGAGCAGGAGAAGAAAAGAAGATGGCGACTGAGAAAAGGGTTGCTGGTGGAGCAGCCATGAAGAAATGCAATAAATTCCTTGTTGTTTTATGAAAATTTACAACTTTGTGATAGAAGTTTATGAGTGGTTGAATCCAGCGATTGGCCGGCGCCGGTCATGTGGCCAGGCGATCGTGAACATGAACTTTTTATCATTTCCCTGGTGGTTATAATGCAGCATTCTTTTGGACACCACACCTAGGTCGGAGCACTGTCGTCCTTCAGGGCTCCAGCCTCTTGATATTTTTATACTTCAGTATCAGCTCGATAGAGCAAAAGAGAGAGAGGAGAGAGGGGGGTGAGGAGAAAAGAGAGAGAGAGCGAGAGAGGGAGAGGGAGAGCAGGAGGGGTGGGAATTGCACAAAGAGAGAACCAAAAATAATTTTGATTCCTAAGTTAATTTGCTCACTGATCTGGGATTTTAGTCATCATGGAGGGTAAATGGACACTCTGCCTAGGACTGCAGCCTGATACTATTTTTCAAAGACAGAACTTACTCAATTTTCTATGCAAATGTCAGAAAAATGAAACACCCTCTCTCCCAAGTCAGAGAAGGGGAAGCGACGGCTCTCACGTTGGGACAATATTATCTGGAAGCTGAAGAAGAAACTGAATGCTCCTTCTTTCCTCCCTCCCCATTCCTTTCAATCCGGAGGGAAAAAAATCCCAAGGTCTGCAAAGGTAAGGGAGATTCTACAATTTTCTTCGGGTTCTTTTGCATCGCTTTTGTAGGGGGGTGGGGCTTGGGTTTTTCTCCCTCCTCCCCTACTCCAAGACGGGGCTGAACCCCACCTCTGGGCGCTGCAGGGAGAAGCTTCCCAGGAAATTCGGTGGTGGAGAGAGGGGTGGCTGCTTCCTGGAGGGGGAGCCAAGGCAGGGGAATCGGGAAGACGAATCTAAAGAGGGCCAGGAGACAAGCTCTAAGTTGCCCTTTTAAGCTTGGAGGAGAGACTCAAGGGGGCTACGAAAGAGAGGATAGGGGCATCTGGGCTTCAGTGGCACCCAAAGAAGCCAGTCGTTATGGCCTCCGTGGGTTTGCCCCCTCCCCCTCCTGCCATCCCTCCCTTGTCCCAGCCTCTGGCTATTGCCCCCGAGCAGTTCTCTTGCCTGGTGCGGATATCGCCGGGTTCCCGGCTGCATTGGCATGTGGGGTGGTGGCGCTAAGGGACGTCCTGGTCTCTGTAGGGCCTGGAATCTCCGCCAAGGCCGGCGAGGGAGAGGAGGCGGCTAGAGAAACACAGAAAAGACAATTTACATAGAAATGCTCGCTATCTCCCTTCGGAGACGTTTTTGAAATTAAAGGGCTGTGGGTGGAGACACCAAAAATGAGGGAGACCCTCCGCCCCCCCCCCCAGGAAGCTTGCCCGAGAATGCCCAAATCTCTCGCCACTCACGCAGGAGGGAGCCTCGCTCTGCAGGGAGACAGTTTTGTGGTTTTAATGCGGTAGGTTACAGCTGTTGGTTTCTGCGCTTATCGATTCTATTATTTGCATTGTATTGGTATGGGATGTGTGGATTTCGGTGGAGGAAAAAATTGCCATGTGTGTGTCTGATATGGTAACATTTCAAACTTTCCTGGGTCCAAACATGGTGATTGTGAAAGAGCTGTTAAGTGTGTTTTTGTTTTAGGCTTTTAAATAAAAACAAAAAAGAAAGAAATGTAAGAAGAAAATAAGAAAATCCAGTTATGGAATGGTGTGTAAACTGGAAAGCTAACTGGCACTGAGCTCAGGCAGTCCCGTCCCTCGGGTGTCCAATTTATCTCTCAGTCAGGCCTTCTAGAGGTGTGGGGAGGGCGGAGAACCATTGGGCAAGAGACAGAGATTCCTCAAGTAGCTGGTGGGGAGGAAGTAGAAGCCAGCCTTGAGGCAAGGACTTAAAAATGGGGCAAGGGAGCTTCTGGGGGAAGTTTCCAGCTAAGAGATAAGTGACGTTGGCTGTGGAGGGCAGGAGAGATTGTGATTTAGTTTGGTTTGCACGAACATGTGATTGCTTTTCTCTTTCTTAAGACCAGATATAGGACGTTCAGCCTCGAGCCTCTGGTCGCTCCGGAGTTACAGGGCCTGGGGTGTGTTGGAAGTGGGGGTATATTTATTATTTCAGTCCTAAGCTGGGAGAGGGCCACTTGTGGCGCGGAAGGGGCTCTGGGGTCCAGGGTAGATGCCCTAGTCTCAGGCCCGGCCTGGGCGCCGGGAGGGACCGCTCGGTTTCGTAGCGAGAGTTCTCCGCCAGCACCCACGGCACTAAGGGCTTATTCTCAAGGGATACATTTCCCAAACCCACCCACACTAAAGGTCTTTTTCTCCTGTAGTCTTGGAGGGTTATAAATCCTCCCTTAGACAGTTCACTGGGACCCAAATTATGCGGTTTGCTGCCATCTACCGTCCGTTCGCAGACACGCGGCTTCTGCGCCGCAAACCCCGCGACACTGCCCCAGCAGTGCCCGATGCCTGGAGCCCTGGCCGCGCAGGGTCCAAGGGATTCAGGGGATTTCGGGTCCACACCGACGTTCTCAGCTGGATCTTGATTCCCCGGTGTGGGTTAGAGAACAGAACAAGTCTCTCCTCCACCCATCCTCAATTCCCGACTCTCCCCGCCCCCTCATCCGTACCTCCCACCCCAGCCTCAAACCTGGAGGCTGGGAGGGGAAGGGGAAGGGGCTTCCTCTAGGACATATTTAAAAAGGTCTAATTCTGCATCCAGTGGCCAGGGGCCCTGAACCAAAGGGTGGAGGGATCAGAACCGAGACCCCCACCGCCACCCCCACTCCCACCCCACCAAGGCGCGGGAGAGAATGGGGCCGCTTGAGAGATCCGAAGCCAAGGCTGTTCAAGGTTTATTTGGTTTTCTTCTCAGCCAAGGGAGGGGGCCGGTAGGGAAGGCGCCGGCCGGCAGTTCCACTCGGTTGTCAAAAGACAAACTGGGTCTGTGTTCTCCGGGTTGGCTGGTGGGTCTTGCCAGTTCCTTGGTTGGTGGGTCCATGGTGAAGGAATTGAACTGAGTTTTCTGGAAACTGTTGGTGTCTGCAAGTGAGTGCCTATCCCCTCCCCCATTCTCGATGGTTTCAAGCGAAATCGACATAAATATGATTTGGGGAAAAAACTGGGAGTGGGACTGGGGCTAAATCATTAAGGAACCACACCGTCGTAATTTCCGTTCCTGTTGGACCCCTCACACTGGCTTAACTCGACCGCCTTCCCAGGAGGGGGTGGCCAGGGCTAGGCTATGCGCCTCCACTGCAGCGTTTGAACGTTTGAATATTGGCCCCTGTCTCACGGGTTACTGATTAGCTCTGGCTTTCAAGCCGTAGGAGGAAGCTCTGGCAGTTTCTTTAAAGGTGCTGTGGTCCTAGTTCCTGGGAGAGGGGTTCCAGGAAATTGCCTGTGGTGCCAGGCAAGCCAAGGTGTTGTCAGAGTCTGGCCCAGGTCTGACGAGGTCGAGGGGCCTGGTGGTCCTGGGACAAACACTGCGGCTGCGGCCCCCGCACTTTCCGGCGCCTGGGCATCTGGAGCAGCTCCTTTAAGCTTTTCCACAGTGTGAGTGACTTTCTGGCGGCTATGAGACCTGGCTCAGCGAGTTGCTCTAAGCGAGGCCCTGAAGGAGCCAGCCTAGGTCTTCGGCCCTTCCGAATTGTTTTGCTTTTGGGCAATCCAAAGGACAGGTAGAGAAGTCGAGCTGGTACAGGGTATTGAAACACTTCAGTACCCTTGGGGTGTTCCTGGGCCTGGGGGTAGGAAACCAGAGAGTGGGCTCAGCACTACTGCCCCCTCCCCTTAAAGATTAAAGAGTATGCTGCTCATTTGCATAATGGAAATGAAGTCTTTGTACCTTGATTTGCAGGGGCCAATTTTGGGGCAATGTGCCTCATCTAAAGAGCCTCCTCCAACCTATGGGAGTAATCACTCAGTACCCCTGGTAACATTTATGTTCCCCAAACCCAGAGAAACAGTCCAGGACGAGAATTGGATTGAAATGTTTTCATTGAACACTACCCCAGCCAAAGTTGGGGTGGTGAGGGAAGGTGCTCACCACCCCAAAGAGCTGAGGGGGAGGGCTTTATAGCTTAGAGGAAATTGGAAGCCTGGACAATGTCTCAGCCCCCTCCACACACACGTCACACACACACACACACACACACACACACACACACACACACACAAAGGCAAATATCTCTCCTGAGGTTACCTATCAAGAATTTTACTCCTGAACTAAACACAACTCAGGAAACATTTTCCTGAGAGCTGGAATGTGTTAGCTTGCCCACAGGACTGCAGGCTCACAGCAGAGAAAATTACAATTATAAATCCTGCCTGTGGGGTATCTGTACAATCCCTCAGTTATGTACTCAAGAATTGGTACACATTTCTATTCATCTCTCTGAACACACACTTCCTCGTTGAGGCAGGGAGAGACACCCTAGACTGGCAGAAGTCTGTGCCTGCTGTGTATTTACATATTCCCCAATGGAGACAGACAGACGTCGGTGGACCGAACCACAGACAGATTTGTAAGGATCTGGCTCCAGAAACCAGTCGGTCTCTGGCCAGCCCTGCCCGTCTGCTCTTTTTCCCAAACAAACGGATCAGACGAATAAACGCTCATAAATACCTCTGGGTTTAGATAAGAGGATGAGGCGCTATTTCCTTTCATGCCCAACTCCAGGCGCCCAGGCCCTGCCCAGAGGGGCTCCATCTCCAGACAAGCAACCTGCAGAGGTGAGGTTAATTTGGGGGCTGTCACTCTAAGGATAAGACAATTATTTTCCTGCTTCTGTCACAGGGAAATGCTCCCTTCCTCACCAGATCTCATTTTGCTCAAACTCTACAGAGAAGACCACACTATTTAGTGCTAGGATGGGGACATTGTGGCCAGGGAGGAGGCAGGGAAGGCTGAGACCCAGGGCTCAGCCTCAGCAGTAGGGAGGAGGTGCATGCAAGCACTCTCTCCCACTTTTTTCCCTCTGTTCAAATGGCCCCTAGTCCACTCTAGAAGTGAGCCCAACCCTAGCTAAATTTGGAATATTTATTGTTCTTCATCATCAGGGGGTTTTAATTTATTTTCTTAAATGCCTATCAAAAAGTCCCATAGAGTCAGGGAGTGATTGGAGGGACATCCAGGGATGACCAGTTTGCCATTAAGTTACAGCTTAGAAGTTGCCCTGAGTTCAGAGAGCCTTGGAGACCATGTTGCAACCAAATAAGTTCCCAGCCTTGGTCCTCTAAGCTCAGCTCCCTACCACCCTCCCTAGTGTCTTGTATACTATCTTCATCCGGCAGAGCTCAGCCAGAAAAAAGAGCCCAAAGGAAGGACAAGACAGAGGAGGGTCAGCCTAGCCTGACATCTGACTTTGTTCCCTGCCCCGACCCCTTCTTGTCCCCAAGTCTGAGGGTTGTCATCCTTCACTACCTGGCCTGTGTATGCATATTAGAAGGCTGGAAATGTACTGTGGCCCTGTCTCCCAGCCTGGGCTTTCGATGCTCATTTTCCTTGGATGAAAGAGCCAGCGACATACACTCTCTCACACACCCAAGCTTGTAAGGCAGCAAAGCTGATGATACAAACGTGGGGTGTGGGAGGGAATTGTAGCAATGCTGAGACACAGACAGAAGGGAGAGGAGACGCTGGCTGATGGCTGGAAGCTGCCTGCTGAGTCCCGGGGAGAACTCAAACATCCTTCTCTCCCTATCAAACTAGAGCAAAAACCAAGTATTGGGAAAGAATTAATTTTAAAAAGAACTGCCAGCTCCTACAGACACTCGCAAGAGGAGTGAGGGTGTCTTTCTTCCTAGGGGTATCTGACTGCCTCAATTATCAGGATGGTTTGAAGACCCACAACTGGAAGAAGAATGATTTCTTCCTCATGCCCAGATTTACTGGGACATCCCTGATTCCTAAAAATCCTGTAGCCCAGACTATTCTTGAGATTGCAGAGGGTGCTGGAGTGAGGGTTACAGGCAGGATGGGGATCGACAAATAAAGTCACCCAGGCTGAGGGAGACCCCTGACTCCTTCACTCCACATCACCACGTGAGGAGAGGGCTAGTCCCTTTCCCCAGTGTCCCTTCCCCTGCCAAGAGTGAGCAGCTGCATACTAGAAGCAAGCAGGATGTCTTGGGCAGCTGTCCGGACACTGCCTTCCAAGAAGCTCCCAGCCTAGCCACAGAGCCAGAGGGGGAAGCTTGGGCTCAGACCCTCCTGCCAGCTCCCAGTCTTCTGGGTCTCCTAGGCAGTGGGATCTGGACTGCCCCCCCCCCCCCCAGATCAGAAGGGCTGTGGAGAAGCAGGAACAATAACCCGAGGCTTGGAGGAGAAAGGGCAGATCTGATAAACAGGAAAAACGATGTTCAAAACCTGGGGAGGAGGGTGTTTCTTCTTTCTCTTCTTAGCGGAGAACTCTTCTCACCTTCTACCAACACAAAACCCTAGAAACAAACCTTCTTTAGGTCTCTCTCTCTCTCAAGCAGATTCGGAAACATTTACCCACCTCTCCCTGGAAGGACGGGGCCCAAGCAACGCAGGGGTTAACTTTTCTGAAAACACAATTAACTTTTTCCTATCCTGCGTGGGGTGGGGGAGAGATACATTTATTTAATCACCTAGGAGTGGGGTGGTCTCGATCTAAACGCTCCCTTCCCCCTCAAAAGCACAGAGCCTATTTCACATATCCTACGTAGGTGGAACAGGACGCGTTCTGTTGTTAGGGAGAGAGAGAAAGGAGAAGGAGAAAGAGAAGGAGGAAAAAAAAAAGGTTGATAGGTTTGTGCGCGGGTCCCTCGTGCGGGCTGCGCTCCTCCTGGGTGCTATTTGACAATTCCTGCCTCTGCCATTGGTCAGTGTTGGATCAGATGGTTGTATTTCCTTCTGGCCCTCACTGGCACCTCGCCATCCCCCCTCAGCTAAAACCCAATCTCGGATATACTACTAATAGGCGCGGCGCTCGGACTATAAAACACAACAAATCATAAACCCGGCGGAGCAGCAGCGGCCGCGCGCGCCTCCCCTCCCAATGAGTTCCTATTTCGTGAACTCCACCTTCCCCGTCACTCTGGCCAGCGGGCAGGAGTCCTTCTTGGGCCAGCTACCGCTCTACTCGTCGGGCTATGCGGACCCGCTGAGGCATTACCCGGCGCCCTACGGGCCAGGGCCGGGCCAGGACAAGGGCTTTGCCACTTCCTCCTATTATCCGCCGGCGGGCGGTGGCTACGGCCGAGCGGCGCCCTGCGACTACGGGCCGGCGCCGGCCTTCTACCGCGAGAAGGAGTCGGCCTGCGCACTCTCCGGTGCCGACGAGCCGCCCCCGTTCCACCCCGAGCCGCGGAAGTCGGACTGCGCGCAGGACAAGAGCGTGTTCGGCGAGACGGAAGAGCAGAAGTGCTCCACTCCGGTCTATCCGTGGATGCAGCGGATGAATTCGTGCAACAGTGAGTGAGACTCCCCGTCGCCGTCGCCCTGGCTCCCGTGGGCCCCCACCCCGGACACAGAACTAGTGAGCGTCCCCCCACCTTCCCATTCTCCCACAGGGTGCTGGGTAGGCGTCTCGGTTAGGAAATAATAGAAGATTGGGCGCCTGCTTGGAGTTTCTCGCCTATCCCCTGGTAGGCAGGAGTTACAAAGTTTGCAAAGTCCCAGCCGCGCTGGGAGCCAGGGGGAGCGAGTGGACTCTCCTGGGGCGCCTGGCCAGAGCCGGGGGTTCCAGGACAAGGAAGGGAGCAGGGGACCACAGTCACTGGCTTGGCTTTTCTTGGCGCCCCCGTCCCTCTCCCAGCCCTGGTAGGGTCCCCCAACCAAAGACGGCTCCATTAAAAACGGAGTGCGTCATGCAAGGGGGTGGGGGGTGACGCTGGAGAGGAAGAGTTGAGTGTGTCTGGAACTGTGTTTCCCGGAGCGGGGGGCTGGAGCAAGATGAGGCACCGGGAAAGGGGTGGTTGGTAGTTAGAGGAGGGAGAAGGATTAAGAGGAAGGAAGAGAGAGGGAGCAGGCGGAGCGAGAGAGAGGGAGAAACAGGCGCGGGGTCTCAGGTTGGATTATTTGTTGGCCTCAAGTCCCAATTGACGTCCATTAGCCGGACTCGAAAGTGAGGAGCCGTTAATGTGGACTACGGATCGATCTACGTCATTACTGATTAAGGGCCTGGATTTATCATTGGGTGGGCGGGGTGGGGGGAGCTGGATGGATGGAAAGGGAGGGAAAAACAAGATGCAACTAGGAAGACACACACCTGGCCAGCCCCTCCCCCCAGGCTCAGGTGGGAGTTCAAACTGCTCCTCCCCTCCCCCATCTAGAGTCTAGACACGCGGCACAGGCCTAGGAAACCAGGAGGGAATCTGGAGGGGGCGCTGGAGGAGTGCGAAAAGGGGGAAGGGAACCGGGAGAGTGGAGGGCATCCCGGTACAGGGTGCAGACTGGAGTCTGTTTGAGGGTCGACTAGGGGAGGGGGCCCCTGGGCCCGCTGACTCCAGGCCTCAGCATCTCCACTCTGCGTAACAGGTTCCTCCTTTGGGCCCAGCGGCCGGCGAGGCCGCCAGACATACACGCGCTACCAGACGCTGGAGCTGGAGAAGGAGTTTCACTACAATCGCTACCTGACGCGCCGGCGGCGCATCGAGATAGCGCACGCCCTGTGCCTGACGGAGCGGCAGATCAAGATCTGGTTCCAGAACCGACGCATGAAGTGGAAAAAGGAGAGCAAATTGCTCAGCGCTTCTCAGCTCAGTGCCGAGGAGGAGGAAGAAAAACCCGCCGAGTGAAGGTGCTGGAAAGGGAGGGAGGACGAGAGGGGAAAGGCCTGTGGGAGCCAAGGGCGTCGGAGAGCCCCGGAAGGAAGGCTTTCGGGTGGGGGAGCCAGGAGACTTGCTCTCTGGCACAGGACAGGCGGGGCCAGCGCTCTCCTGGACGCCCCCGCCCGCACAGCTCCCGGCGGGTGCTCAGAGGCCTCACTGCTCGAGCCCACCCAGCACCCCTCGCCCTTCTTTCCCGAGAAACCCGCCTCAGCCTGATCAGGCTTCCCGGTGAGAACTGAGGATCGGACTCACTTGATGTTTCCTGGATGCAGAGCAAAATGCTCTTGTCCCTGTCGCGTCTCATTTCGTCCATGTCCCCGGTGCACGGTTCAAAGGTAGATTCGCTGTCCCCTCAGCGGGGGCCTTGAAGACTCCCTGATCCCAGATCTGTCGTCTCTCCCACCCCCTCCTTAAAGCCACTGGAAGGAGCACATACTACCTAGAAGTAAGAAGAGGAGCCTCAGAAGAAAACAAAGTTCTATTTTATTAATTTTCTATGTGTTGTGTTTGTAGTCTTGTCTTAGCTCTGGACGTGAAATACTTCGGTAATAATATTAATATTAATAATAATAATAAAGATGTGAAAACTCGACGCTCGGTCACCTCCTATCTTCCCCTGCCATTTTTTCTTCTCCTCCAACCCCCAGCCTCTCCATCTTTCCTGAGCCAGAAATCTTCAGCAAAGGCGAGAACCCTGGCCCGCGTAGCGGGCCCTGTTCGACTTGGGAATTTGCAGCTGAGATAAAGGCTGGAGCGATCCATCCTGGCCAGGCCCCAGCGCTGCGTTTCCCTGGTGCTGAGCCTTACAGCCGCCTCTCCCCGTGCAGACTTGGGGGATGGAGAGGGGCTGTTTCTCTCTCATTCTGTAGCCTTTCCTCCTGTGTCTACAGCACTAAAGGAGCCACTGAGGCCCCTAATGCTCTCTTGTGGAGATGGAGCCATCGAGTCTGGGGGCCTCTGCAGCACTTTTCTGCCCTCACCTCGGCAGAGGCCCCTCGCCTTTGGGCTGTCCACATGGCCAGGTCTTCACCAGCCTTGGCCCTCTGCTCCCTGCCTGTGGCTCTGGAGACTGAAAAATGGGGCCACTGGGTATCTCTCGCCCTGCAGCTGAAGGCTCCAGGTGCCCCTTCCCACCTCAAGTAGGAGATCAGCCATGAGTAGGGGAATGTAAAGCCACCAGCCAGGCACAGGCTGAGGGGCACGGCTTTCCCTTGCTCCTTGGAGACCCCAGGGCAGGAAGCCAGGTGATGGGGCATTTAGTGTCATCCTTTCAATCCAGAATGGCCCATTCTCTCTCCGCTCCCACGGGCACCCAGAGGGCAAGCTGTGGACACTGTTTTCCTTTATTCCTCCGCCCTCTCGCTCCCTTTTTAAAGAAAATCGTCGCCTCGTAATAGGGGCCCAGCTGCGGCGGTCTCTGGCCGCCCAGCGTGCTCAACAAACCGTGCGGGTCCTTGGAACCCCTTTTTCGGGAAGGCGGCTGCCACCAGGCAAATTCTCAAACTGCCCAGCTGCGAATGAGGGGCCTGGAGTGGGGCCTCCGAATGCAATAGCCGAGGAGGAGGGAAAGGGTCCTGCTTTACAAACTCTCAGACACATGTTACTACTCAAACCCAAGCCACCGACACGGTGGCCGCTGCAGTCTTTTCGGCAACTAGGCCGCTTAGCCTCAGCTGTGCTGGGTTTCTGGGGTCCCTGTCCTGCTCTGCCACTCCCCAGGCCTGGGCTAAGGACCACCAAGGAGGTCAGGAAGGGGATTTCAAACTTCCAAGTGGCCCAGGAGAAGTGAACGCTTCCCCTGCTGCTTTTTCAAGCCACCCGTCCAGCCCCACGCTCGGTCTGGGAGCTGTGGACAGCAATAGCAGTCCCTCCAGGATGCAGGTCGGGCTGAGCTCCGGGGGAGAAACTGTTGCAATAATTGTTTTTCACACACAACTTCCAACCCTTCCCCCATTTCCGCCCCCAATTCAGAGACTTGCAAAGCCCAAGAAAGGGAAAAGCAACTTAATCTTTGATCTTCTCATCCAAAGTTAAAATAATAACGACGATGATGTAGGGAAAAGGACCCAAGTAGAGAGGCTAACCCCACCCACAAGAAAGTGGGTAAAAAGCTTAACGCCTGCTCTAAAACGCTCAACCCTGTGGCTGAGCCTTGGCCGGGTTTCTTTCTCTCCCCGCGGCTGCAGGGAGCCAACAGGGAGGCAGCCGCCGCCGCCATGGCGGTCTCCCTCCCGAGCTCCCGTCGATCGCCGGGAGGTGGCGCGCTCTGCTCAGAGGCCAACGCCAATCTGCTCCCCGTTTCTCCCCCTTCTCCTTTTTTCCCCCTCTCTCGGAGGCTCGCATTGAATCGGCCCTAACGATTCTCGGATCGTCATTATTTGTAACCATAGAGCATGAATTACCTCTTGAGGTCATCAGCGAGAATTTACGACTGGTCAACAAAAGCACGTGATTCCCTAACGCCCCCCCACCCCCCTTCCAACCCCCCCCCATATTTGGCCGCATACATAGCAAAACGAAGTACAGTGCATCGCTATAATTCATTAATACATCATAAATCGTGAAGCACAGGGTTATAACGACCACGATCCACAAATCAAGCCCTCCAAAATCACCCAAATGAGCTCGTACTTTGTAAACTCCTTCTCGGGGCGTTATCCAAATGGCCCGGACTATCAGTTGCTAAATTATGGCAGTGGCAGCTCTCTGAGCGGCTCTTACAGGGATCCCGCTGCCATGCACACCGGCTCTTACGGCTACAATTACAATGGGATGGACCTCAGCGTCAACCGCTCCTCGGCCTCCTCCAGCCACTTTGGGGCGGTGGGCGAGAGCTCGCGCGCCTTCCCGGCGTCCGCCCAGGAGCCCCGCTTCAGGCAAGCGGCTTCGAGCTGCTCCCTGTCCTCGCCCGAGTCCCTGCCCTGCACTAACGGCGACAGCCACGGAGCCAAGCCCTCTGCTTCGTCCCCCTCCGACCAGGCGACCTCGGCCAGCTCCAGCGCCAATTTCACCGAAATAGACGAGGCCAGCGCGTCCTCGGAGCCTGAGGAAGCGGCGAGCCAGCTAAGCAGCCCCAGCTTAGCTCGGGCGCAGCCAGAGCCCATGGCCACCTCCACAGCCGCGCCCGAGGGGCAGACTCCGCAGATATTCCCCTGGATGAGGAAGCTTCACATCAGCCACGGTAATTCTCTCTCTTTTTTGTCTTCTCAGCTTTCCTTCTCTGCGTTTTGGGGTGGGATGTGGGGACAAGGAGAACCTGGCTTTCCCCCAAATATAGATTTATTTTTCCAAGGGGGAGAAGTCTCTGAGAGGGGCCTCATAGCTTTGTAGACAGAGCCAAACAGGGTCTCTCTGTGGTGGGGGGTATTTTTAATAATTTGTTGCCAGCTTCGGCTTAGGTTTTTATTAGCTCAGCTATACCAGCATTAGGATAAAGGATGGGGTTCATATAATGTGGGGAAGAGTCCTGCTTACCCCTGAAATTTTGAGACTACCGCTAGCAAAGAAAGGGTGAGCTTTCTGGGGCAAAAGTGCAACCGCTCTCCTCCCTCCGGGGCGAGCGGCCGCCTGAGCCCAGCCAAGGGTGAGGCACTAGGAGTCAGCAAGAGACAAAGCCGGGCGCATTGGCTGCCGGCAGAAGTGGGGGATGCGGGAGAAGGGGGTGCAGAAATCGAGCTTGAATGTGGGCATCTGGAGTAGAGAGGATTGGAGCTGCGGTGAGCTGGGTGCCGGGACGCCTGGGTCCTGCTCCCCCGCCCCCTCCCACCCAGTGCCCCCTCCCTTAACCGGAATAACATTGCCTTGCGGCTTTCCTCTATCTGCTCTAGATATGACTGGGCCGGACGGGAAAAGGGCCCGGACCGCGTATACCCGCTACCAGACCCTGGAGCTGGAAAAGGAGTTCCACTTCAACCGCTACCTGACCCGGCGACGGCGCATCGAGATCGCCCATGCACTCTGCTTGTCGGAGCGCCAGATCAAGATCTGGTTCCAGAACCGGCGCATGAAGTGGAAGAAGGACAACAAACTGAAAAGTATGAGCCTGGCTACAGCCGGCAGCGCCTTCCAGCCCTGAGCCCGCCCAGAGGAGCCCAGCGGCCCAAGAGCCCGTGCCACCCCCAGCCCTGGCCCCTTCAATCCTCCCCGCACTGCCGCAGCCCGCTGGGGACCGGTTCCCACAAGCCTGCCTCGCCCCAGCCTTGTGTTAAGATATTTCGATATTTCCTTTGGTCTTAGGTCTTCCTGTGGCTCCCTCTCTCCTGGACTGGTTATCTTGTTATTATTGTTAATAATAATTATAATTATTATTTTCCCTCCATGCTCCCAACTCCCTTCCGCTTGCCCCAAATCCACCAGTGTTTCTGAATGTTTGTGTCTGTGGTTGCAGTCCTTCCCCCAGGGAAAAAAAAAAAGAAATTCGCATGTTTAATGTGAACTCTCCCCTCCCCATCTGTGTTCTAACTTATTTATAAAAAGATGATCACTGTATTTTGAGTTTCAGCTGGAAACTTCTCTAAGGGGCAGCAGTTGAGTTGGGGTAGTACCGCAGTGGGGCCAAGCTGAGCTGGCCTCTGAGATGGAGTCTCTTTTCATTCTCCTTTCCCTCCTTCCCCACTCCCCAGGCCCAAGTCTCCTAGGGGCTTGGTTCTAGGGTGGGAAGAGGCTGGGGAGGACCAAAGGGGTGATACTGAGAAGAGAGAAAGAAGATAGTGAGATTTAAGTTCCTGCTGCCTGGGTAGGCCCCACAAGGCCTGGTCTGGGAGTATACGGAAACAAAAACGATCTTCAGTGTAATATGTCTTGTGTATTTCTCTGTGAATCCATAGGTCTGGCTAGAGGGCCCAAAGCTTGTAAATATGGGGATAGTCTGGGTCAGACCCATCTGTTCCTTACCCATTTCTCTTCCAAGACCATTTGTAGTGAGCGAGCGGATGCTGTGCTACGTGTGAAATCTGTCTTTGCGGGGCCTGTCTCGGTGATTCGCTTTTGGTATATGTTTGTAGCTTTCCTTGAAGTCAAATAAATGTTTCCCCCACTCCATTGCCCTTCCACTTGTCTTTTCTCCGAGGGGTTTACCTCTCCCATCCCGGGCACATCCTGGACCATTCTTAGTAGATCTCGGATGCAGGGTGGAAAAAGTAGGCTCTCCCTAACAGCTCTTCTCAGTCCTGTAAGTCCCTGGCTTGGTCAACAGTGCTTGGGCCAGGGAACAGACCTTCATGCTTGGGGGGACTTCAAGGCCCAGAAACCCCATGTGGGGCTGGGGCAGGGGAAAGGCTGAGCTAGAGTCCATCCTGGTCTTCCACTAGCTGGCCAAGGAAGCCTCTGGAAAACCCTTCTGGGAAAGTAATTTGGGCCTAAGTCCTCAGCAGGAGGCTCCCAGCCTTTTGGGAGTGGTAGAGGCCTGCCCAGCCCCCTGTCTCCTACTCTAAGTCCCAATTCAGTTCTGCCACCAACTAAAGCAAAAAAAAAAAAAAAAAAATCAGCTGGATTTCAAATGATTTCTCTCACCCTCAGCCTTCTCTACCCTTATCAAGGGCTCCTTCTCTCCAGGCGCCCAACTGATCTTCCCTCTTGATTAGGAGTTGGGGTCCTTGCAGAAAGACCCCTGGTTTCCCCTTCAGCCTTGCCCAGGGCCAGGGCCCAGTCCACCTCCATCCAAGTCAGCTTCCACCCTGAGCGCAAGAGTCAAGTCTGGACACTTACCCGGTCAATCCCTTCCAGCTTGGCCCAACTTCTTACTGGACTTGGGGGGAGGGGGAGCTGGTGAGGAGGCAGCCGTGGGTCGTGGAGGTTCTACTTGGCCCTCCTTTCCCTTCACCCCTTGACTTTGTCCCCCTTTGTCGATAGCAAACTATCCCAAAAGTCGCTATGACATTTAGATGTCAAATGGATAGGGGTTTTATCTCGAAGTTAGATCGTAAAAATCGCCGAGAAGTCAGACAGATACCCCTCACTGGCTCGAGAAAGTCACGTGAGGTCCATAAAGTTAGTTTTATGGTTTTGGGGAGTTGACACCACGCAGTATATTTCACATTCTCCAGAATGTTAAGTGACACTTTAACTGCTCGCTGTGGTGGGGAAGGGGCAGAGATAGGTGAGCACTCTCCCAGCCTAGAGCAGCAGGACCAGCCCAGAAGGCAGCGGCGGCCCAGGCCAGCACTCCCGCAGTAAGTCGCTTTCAGCTTTCGCTTTTACCCATTGCGATTCTGGGGCTTGCGACTGGGATAAGGAAACTTGCTTCCAGCTGGGGCTGTGGGGTGGTGTAGGGGATATTTAGCCTGTTTTATGCACTCACTTCTAAGGGACTGGGTGCCTGAAGTAAGTGCCCTCAGTTTCATAAGGCCTCAGTGGTCTGGGGTGCCTGGTTTTTACTAGCAAGAGTGCCTGACTCTGTGGAGAAAAGTGTTTGTGTGGGGGATCCATGCTCCCTCAGTGCTAGTGGAAATTTAGGGACCAAGAAGGAGGGGTGTGTATTGATGAAAGAAGGAGCCATTGTGGGGGGCCACTTCATTGCTGGATATCTTGAGACAGCTATCCTCCCACCCTCAGGAAATAAACTTTATGACATTCATTTGTCAGGGATGTGTGGGGTGCACTGCTGGGCACTTTTATCTGGATACATCTAAGCTGAGAAAAAGCACTCGGCAGGCGGCTGCTGTGGGCTGCTTTGCCCTGGGGTGCTCTCTGGCTTTCAGATCTTTAAAATCCATAGAAGGGGGTGCCTTTGATCATCTTGGGCCTTATCGGACTTATCTGGTATGGGGAGCACAGACTCATTGGGCTAATCTGGGATGGGGAGCACAGCGCTGCTTTTGCCTCCACCTTCAGCCTGTTGGTCCCAAGCTAATCTTTCTCCTTGGCCTGAAGTACGATCCTGAAATCAGACTAGGGAGCGGACAGAGTGGTCCATCCCCGCCCCCCACGCCAATTCAAAAACCTAATTCCTGATCAGGAGTAGGGGAAGGTAAGAGCTTCTTCTCTTGCCTAGAGGTATTAGGTCTGGCAAGCCCTCCATAAATAGTATCAGCTCAAGAACTCAGATCCCTCAACTGTCAGGAGGAAATAGACTCAGGAGCTGGAAGAGAAAATAGGAAAGTACTCTTTTTTCCTCTCTTTTTCCCTCTTCTCTTCTGGGCACACCCTCAAAGGCGCCTTTGTTTCGCGGCACCATAAACCAGAGAGACTTCAGGATTTGATCCCTAGAGGTTCTGTTATTTTCTAAGGAAAAGTCACCCTTCTAAAAGTCAGAGGCCTCTTCTCCACCAAATTGACCCCCCCCCCCTCCAATTTAAGACCCATGGGGCCAACCACCCTGTCACTCCTGCTGTCACCAGCCTGCCATCCCTTGATTCAGCTCACCAACTGCCATAGGTAGTTCCTGGGATTGGGCATGTGGCCCCGGGAGGGGCTTCCGATCTTTGGGACAAGGATGGGGTCATAAGACTCCCTTTTCCCCATTAAGGGACATTGGAACTCTCTCCCTCTCCTCTATCTCCTGAAGCTTTATTACCTGAGCTCTTTATCCCCTGCCCAAGCCTGACTTACAGGAGAACCTTAACAGACTTAACAGCAGAGTCACCTGGTTTGAAGACACATCATCCCAAGAATGAGGGCATTTGTATCCCTTAGAAAGGAGATACAGGTCATCTCCCAGAGGATCCCCAGCATCATTGGAAATATAAAGAAGCACTGGAGGCACAGCTTCCATGGTCTTCCACTCTACAAGGCAACAGAGTTGACAGACATTCAGAGAAAGAGCTCCACAAGGGAGAGTCTGACCTGGGTCTCCAGGGGAACCCTATTCCTATTGTGCCCCTGGCCTCCTCACTCTAATACACTTCCCTTAAAGCCCTCCTGGAAGCTGAAACCCCAGATAGCAAGTCCTGCCCCTAAAGAATTTTTTCTTTGCCCCCTCTCATGTCAGTTCTGCAGGTTCTGATAAAGACTGCTTGGGCTGGCGGCCCAAGGACATCTACTAGGCATATCTGGTCAGATTTTCCAGGATGGCAAAGAGCAACATGGGGTGCCCACTTCCATCTCAGTGACCAAACTCTTGAGCGGAGATGCCTGGAGAAGATGCCTAGGCTAGGCTTTCCTCTTTCCCACTTCAGGCTCCCTGAGCTGAACCCCAGTCCTGCCTGAACCCCAACCAGGACAAGTTGGGGGAGGCAATGAGAGGTGTGTAGGGATTTCTCATGCCAAGAACTCTCTCCTCCGGACTCCCCGGTCATCTCTCTCTAAGCTGCTTTACTCTCTCGGGGGCTTTGCTCTCCCTCCTCTCCCACCCACTTCCTCTCCCTGCCGGTCCAGGCCTCAACCTCTTGAGCTACAAGCCAAGCCGGCACCCTCTTGCCAAATCCTCAACCTGGGGCCAGGCCCCAGGAGGTGACAGAGGGAGATTACAGCTGCAGTTTCTCTTTTCGCTCTGAGGCCAGCCTGGCTACCACTCAGTGGACAATTCAATTTTGATTTTTTTGTTTTGTTTTATTTGGTTATTTGTTTTGTTTTGTTTCTCTGAGGCCAACGGGTGGGAGGAAGTATAAAGAAGTGTAAACAGGAAAGCCAGCCGGGCCTGGAGTTCCAAGTGCCCATATTTCATTGGCTTCCTCTCCATAACTGTGGCAGGGACACTTAACCCTTCCCTGGCTGTGAGAAGTTATTCTCTGAGGGCTGGTGGGCAGAATGGGAAGATCTGAGAGGAAGCTCCTTTCCCCTCCTGGTTCCTTTATCCCTGGGATCTGCATGCCAAGGATTCAGAGCAATGGAGAAGACAGAGGGCTCAGCACAACCCTCCAAACTCAGTCCCTTCCCGGGACTACTCTCCCCAGCACAGGCTTTTCAGCTTGGGGGACCAACCTGGCTAATCCTGAAAGACAGGGCTAGCAAGAATGAGCTCCCCTCTTTTAAGGGAGAGGGCATTGGTAACCCTCCCCATTTTTGGAGTTTCTCAGAGTAATCGGATTTTGAGGCTGGGATCTGCCCACAGCGAGATTTATCGATTGCTGCAGCACTGTTACACATCCATATTAATTAACCCAGACACCGCCTGGAAATCGAGCTGTTTGGGGAGGGGAAGGGAGAAATGGGGCCCCTTAAGGAGAATGGATATTTCTCCCTAAGTGACTCTGAGGTTGAGATTAGAGGGCCCTCCGCACATGAATCCTGTGGCTCTCCCCAGGCTTGAAGCCCCTGGACTTCTCAGCAAGCCTAAGAGTGACAGTCTCCACAGTCAGCTCCACACACAAGGCTCATGGTGGTAGTGGTGGGAGATTAAATACCTTGCAGGTTGTTCCGAAGGCCCTACCCCACTCTTCTTTGTCTCTGGCGGGTTTCCCCAGCCCTGTAATACTCTATCTCCAGCAGAGGTGAGCCAGCATCCTTTCTAGAGGGGTTAACCTCCCCGTCACCTTCCTTTCAATTTCTCAAAGGTAGAAGCTTATGATGGTTTTCGAGTTTGGTTTGTTTTAAACAGAGTCCTGTTTGTTGGTGGTAGTGATAGTCTTGTGGCCTTCTGCTTTCTCCTCCCTCCATCCCTCCAAAAAGTGATTAAAATCTATTAAAGGATTTAATTAAGAGAGTTAAATGAAAAGGAAGGAGGCGCAAATGAGTTTGGGGGAAAAACCCACACCAAAGCTATTCTCAACGATTAAATCGCCATTTTAACAATATAATGGAGTTTGCATCCTGAAAGGGGAAATCAACGCTCATATCTCATCAATAATTCATAGAGTCCGGGATCATGCAGAGGTCAGCAGACAGGGGCCGCAGCGCCGGCCTACGTGGGGCTCCTAGCCGCTGCAGCACACAATACACGCCGCCGGCCACTCTGCAGCCGCCACCTCCACCACTGCAGACCGGTGTTGGGGGTACGCTTGCAGGTTTAGGCGGAACTTTCGTTCTTTCTTTTGGCGAATTTACTGATTGCAGGCTCCAAGAGGAGAGGGGGAATTTGGGAGCCTGGGAAGGACTGGACCTCGGGCAATTCGGGAACCTGTTGGACCCCCAAAAGCACATTTTCCCGAGTTTTAATCTTTGTCTTCCCTCTCTTCTTTTTCCTTTTCTCTGTGATTTAGGCGTCTCCTCTCTTATCTCTTCTCTCCCTAAAGTTCCTCTTGGAGAGAAAAATGCACTCTCTGCAGCATCCTCTAGCTTTTCCTCCCTGGAAACGATTTCCAGGCTGCCAGGCCGCCCTCTGGCCTGCCTGTCCCCGAGTGGATTCGGGCTGAGCCTTGCGGCTTCGAAGCACAGCGGCTGGTTTTGGTCGCAGCGATCTCTGACCTCGGAGCCCGGTAGGATAGGGATGAAAGCATCTAGGGAGGAAATGTATCTCGCAGGCCTCAGATCGTCTTGTGGAACCAAGGCTAGATGCAAAGGTGGGGAGTCAGCATGGAAAGACGCACTAAGGGGAGAAGTGGAGGGAAAGTGTCAGCCTGTGTCGGGCATCTCCTCTTGGGGGATTTGGAGGCACGATGGAGGATACCTTATTTCGGTGCTTCTGCAGGCTTGTCCTTAGGTGCGTAGATCTAATTAGTGTTTTTGTCCCCCCATGTTTTCTGAATCCCAAGGGATCCCAGGAAAAGAGAAAGGAAATCCTTCCCAGTCAGAGGTGGGGGTCTGGAAGGAGATATTTGGGTAGAAGGGAAACCGAAAGCGCGCGGGTTGTCCGCACCGCCGCTGCGCTGGACTAGAGGCAGAGGCTGTAACATCCCAGAGCTGCCAGTAGAGTCCGCCTTAGACCAAGTTCACAGCCAGCCTGGGGCCTCCGAGGCGCCAGCGAGCGGCCGCGCAAGGTGGCCCCGGGCCCCGCATTGTTGGAACACTGAGCTCTCCCTCCACCCCCGTGAGCACAGCAGTCCCCTCTGCTCCCGGGGAGCCCCGGCTCCAAGCTCTCCCCACCCTTCACCCCGAAATACCCTTCTCCAGGTCAACCCATTCTACTGCTCCCCATCGGTCTCCTTGTCCAGCAACTTCCACCCCACTCTGGGGGTCAAAAATGAAGAAGGGCGGCTGGTCAAAAGCCCTTCCAGGCATCCCAATAGAAGAGATCGTTGAAATTGCGTGAAGTAGGTTCCGCGTCTTTTTCCAAAGAGTTATTTAATAGTAAAAAAAAAAAAAAAAAAAAGTCCTTCTTCCCCGGGTCTGAGGCTCTGGAGTGGGGACATTGGCG